AGTAAAAACTTAAATCTATAGAAAAAAACTCACTTCACATCTTTAAGCAAGGTTATATTTCAACCATCAGAGAATCTCAAAAGCTGAAATGAAACAAATCTCTCCAGGTCACAGGCTTTTTAGAAAACAACGTCCACCATTCAAAGACTCAAATCTCTCATTATACCGGCTTAGAATTATTTTCTTTTATCAGAAGTCAAGATGCAGTGAGCACCAGTGTACACAGAAGGAAACTAAGCCTCTAAGGTTACAGTGTGTGGCCCTTTCCCCCAAATCCTCTGATGTCTTTCATCCTCCTCTTCTCCTCCTCCCCATTTGGCCTCACATTCTCCTTTCTGGTCCGGCACTAAGTTTGCCGTCTGCCATCAGATACTCAGCCTGCAACCCTCTCTACTGACAGAAGCTTGGGGCAGCAGGGAGGAAAAGAGTCTTGAAAGTCTCAACGAGATCACAAATCACTCTCTGGATTCCTCTGCCAAAGTAAGTCCAAACAGGAGCTGGTTTGCTCCATTCCCTTTTGGAGCTCTCATTAAGTCTAGGTGACTCAAAAATCCCCACCTATGTGCCTGCCCCCTCTCTTTGGGACAAGCTTTGGTGTCTGCCAGTAACTTGAATGACATGTCTACAACTGAATTCCACATTCTCCCTGCTACTTGCCTATTTTGCATTGGAGCAGCATCCTCCTCCCAGGGCCCTGAGACAGAACCCCACTGTTTCTGATTTCTCACTCCTCTACCCACCAGCTCTCACTCCTCTACCCACCAGCTCCCCACTCCTTTGAAAACAATCTAGTCAATGCCAACATCATTTTTCCTTCAAAAATACATCCCATAGCCCTTCCTTCTTATTTTTTCCTATCCTAATTTGGCACACTCCTGTCAGATTAATCTTCTTTTGATATTCACAGCCCACTGCTTAGAAATCCTCAGTGACTTCTGAATGTCTGCTAATAAAGAACAAACCTTGAAGCTAGTATTCAAATTGTCACATGATTTTCTCCTACTCTATACTATTCTATGTAAGAAGAGTAAAACTTCTCTAGCATTACTGCTTATAACGCATTACCTAGAAACACTTCCAAAACTGTGTTCCTCAAAGTTGCAAAGGATGCCGAGAGATTTAAAGGGGAAAAAAAAATCAGACTTGAAGTAAGTTTGGAAAATACTAGTTCAGCAAAGATAAGCAGGTTTGTCCATAGTGGGACTTTTCAAAGCCTTCACTATGCTCACATGCACTGTGGTCTCTAAGAGACGTATATGATATGCAATGCTTCCCAAATTTGATTGGCCACAGACCCCTTTTTCACAGAACTGAGAGATGAATAATTCTCTGAACAAGCTCTGGAAAGCCCTGCACTAAAGACATCTTAGGCTTTGATTAAAACTGGATACTCCTAAGCAAGTGGTTTCCTTTCCTACCTGAGCTTTGATTCATGCATTTTTCCTACCCGGAATCTTCACTCTTTTAATTCCTCCTAAGGAAAATCATCTCACGCTATAAGACCCACCTTAAAGGCTGCCTCTTAAATGTCCACCGAACTTGCACAGCCGTGTGCATGTGGTACAGCCAGTGGAAACACCCACCCATGGAGCCACCTTTGTACTTTAGTAATTCTAGTGCATTTTGTCTTCAAATCTATGTACATGATTCACGAACAGGATTCAGCTTCATCCACATCTTTCGCATGGCAGATGCTCAAATACCCAATGCACTAATTTTACATCATTAATCTTTGCTTTCAACTAGAAACAACCATTAGGTTGTCCATCCATAGAGATCCATACACACCCCTGTACTGCATATTATAACATCACTTAGAATTATGTAAATCTATATCCACATGGCAACTGCTGTCCTATGCACACAACAGTATTAGTTTTTGCTATCAATGAAAACAAACAGCCCACACTAAAAGCAGTTTGAAAATTATTCTAAATGATGGGAAATTCACAGAAATGACTGACAGCATATGAATATGGGAAGCAGGTACCAGAGGGAAGGGTACAGGGCCTGCGAAGTATGAAGATGCAGAATCTGAACTACTGATAAACAAGAATGAGGAAACTTCATAAAGGAAGAATATGGTAGAAATTAGGGCAAAAAAAAAAAGGGAAATAAAAGTAAATATAAGTCATTTCTTATGATCATAAACATTGTCTACCCACCTGATTATTCTCTATTTCCCAGTGAATCACTTGATTATCAGATCCTCCAGAAACTAACTCAGTAGAAGGAGCTGAAAAAAAATTATCTCAGTAAACATTTTTATTTTCTTCCCAGCTATTTTGAAAAATTCCAAAGCTATAGAAAAGATAAAAGAAAACTCATATACCGTTACGTAGATTCACCAACTGTTAAGATTTCATCATATCAGCTTAATATCTTGCTCTATGTATACACACCCCTTTTTATTTTTGACAAACCATTTAAAAATAAGTTGGAGACATGATTTCCGATACACAAATATTTTACCATACTTTCCCCAAGAGTTGGAACATTCTCCTGTATTACCATAATACAATTATTGGATGGATTCAAGAATTTAAACATTGATGCAGTGTTGTTATATAATACATAAGCCATATTAAAATTTCCCCAGATTGTCCCAGTAATGTGTTTTAAAACTTTTTTAAGCTCAGAATCTAAGGACCACACATTGCACATTTGGTTGTCACATCTTTTCCATCTCCTTTAATCTTGAATAGTTTCCCAGTCCCTTCTTTTTTTTTTGTGACAATGAGAGTCCAGGCCAGTTGTTTTGCAGAATGTTCCTCAATCTGGGTAGGTCTGGCTGTTTCCTCGTAAGATTCAGGCTAAACACTTTCGGCAGAAATAACATATAGGAGACATTACAGTCAGCTGCTCCTACCAAGTATAGCACGTATTTTTGAGATCTGATATATATTTCAGAATAGCTCTTTCAAACATTTACAACTTCCTGTTGATGACAGAAGAAAAGGATTAAGAACCAAAACAGGGAAAATCATATAACCAATAACTTAGGTTTGGATTTTCCATTTATTTGTTTCTTCTGGCCTAACTAAGGCAAAGCAGCTGGGGGATTGCCTAAAGAACATTAGATTTGTACTCAGAAGTCGCAGATTTATGTCCTAATCCTGCTGCCAGCCAGCTGTGATCTTGGGTTTTAATTTCTTCATATGTCATAGAAATTAAGTCACTTACCTAACTGCATGATTTTGACAATTACTCTTAAGGTGCATGAAGGTAACGTGTTAAGAATCAGACATTTTAAAAATATGAAATGGTATTATTTAAATTTTATATCAGTGATACATGCCCTAGAAAGAATACCTGAATTACCTGACAGGAGAGTCCAGTTCTGAGGAAATCAATCATAATGGTTAGAGATTACAGTGATACACAAGCAATTCATTTTATGTAACCTTACTTTTAATGGGAAGATAAAATATACAAGCCCAAATTAATATTTTATAACCAATCCCTATATTGAGATCCATGTAGTCTTTGATGACATTTCATGGCAATTAATATAATTGCAATTGTTTTAATACCTGCACTAACAGCTACTCTTTATACTATTTAATGGTCTTTACTGACCTAATGTCATTCTTGCACTACCAGCTGAAATAAGTAGATTAAAACTTTTCTTTAATGTCACAGATAAAATCATAGTAAATGATACGAATTTCACAGAATTCAGGAAATTCTGCATTTGTGCCTGGCTCAGAATGCTCTCCATACATATTTATGGAATAAAAAAATAAAATTAATGCAGAGTCCATAAGAATACTATAGTAGGTATATTTAAGACATTTGGGAAAATTCCATTGGATTTTAGAAGCCCACCTAAAAAAGATGTTAATTAAAAATTCTGGAGCCACAGAATCTTAGAAACAGAAGAGACCTGGAGACAATCTAGTCTAGCAATTCTCCAATTTTTTAATATCAGAACTCTTTTACACTCTTAAATTTTTTTTGAAACCCCAGAGACCTTTTGTTTACATAGGCTATATGTACCAAGATTAACCACATTAGAAATTAAAACTGAGAAATTTGAAAAATACTTATTAGTTTACTTAAAAACAATAAACCCCATTACATGTTAACATAAATAACACTTTTATGGGGGGAGGGGAGAACCCTGTATTTTCCAAAACAAAAAATTAGTAAGAAAGGCACTGCTTCATATTTCTGCAAATCTCTTTAACAGACATACTAGAATTTAGCCGGATTTTCCTATCTGCTTCTGTGTTAAATCTGTTGCAATATCACAAATCATGTAGCCACCAGAAAATGGCACTATACACTTGTGACAGAATGATTATAAAACCTAGGAATACCTTCTTAGTATTATTCTGAAAATAATTTTGACCTCACAGGTGTCATGAATCTTAGGGTCCCCTGATTCAGCCCAAGCCTTTACTTTTCCAATGTTACTAAGATGCAAACTGGGGTCAAAAGAGATGTAATGTTCCGCCTTAAAAAAACAAACAAACAAAAAAAGCTATAGCTTGTCTGTGGCAAAAACAGACCTACAAGCCAAATCTTCTGAATCCTAGCCTGAACTCCAACACAGGCCCTGCTTACACGCTTTTGATCAAAAACTGTGGGCAACAGTGGCCTCAGTCAGGGCCTGCCTCTACTCTCACCCTAAGCACTGCTGTGTTTCCATGCTTCAACTGCTATAAAGTAAAAGTATGGGTCAGATATATCATTGGTCATACCATTTTTCGGTTTTCCAGTTGCATAATATCAGATAAGCTAACCCTCAATTAAGAGAAGTCCAATTAATACTTACAACCATCCTGTTTACAAATCCACTGTACGCAATTGACTCGAGCAGTGTGCCCATTCAGGTTGGTAATAACAACCCTTTTCTTTAGAGAAGAAGACACCAGTTAGTAAACTCAAATTGATCCTACAGAGGAATTAATAAATTAACAAAAATCAGATTTCAGTGATCTTGACGCTGATAAGAAGTTTAGGATTACTTCAAACAGAATTACCTTCCTTAATTCATAAACTTTTAACCATGGCTCAAATCATCCATTCACTTTAATTCATTCCTGCCCTTTTCCCCTCACTCCACATTCACTTACCACTATCCTCTTCTCGTCTGGGAAGCCTTCTTAAAACCCCAAACTAGACAAGGACCTGTGCTCCCACAGGTCTCAGGGCCTATTTCTACCATGCTTGCACCAATTTTGAGCGTTTTGTTGACAAAAAAAAACAAAAACAAAAACAAAAAACCTTCAATAAAGGAAACAGATACAAATTCATGGCTCACTTAGCGTGCCATGGCTGATCTGGTGTTGAGTTCTTCAGCTTTAAGGGCACAAACTCACCAGGACACAACTACTAAGATCCTCAGACATTAGATCCCTTTCAGGGTCTCCGGCCAGGTTCCTAGAAGTCCCTCAGATTATAGCTTTCACCAACATCACTCCACATTTGGGCTTTCCTTATATCCCCAACTGCTGAAGACTCCATGCCTACCGAGCTCTCCTCTTTACAGCCCCTTTTTCTGTTGATAACAAACAGGTTCACATCTGCTTATATGTGAACTGGAATTCTCATACAGAGGTAAATGTGCATAAATCAATATATTTCACATACGGGTTATTTGAGGCTGGGAAACAATTTAAAGTAGTTCATTGTCTCCCTCACTAGAAAGAGAATTCCTTGATGGGCAGGAGTTATTACCCATTATCTGTGTCATCACCACCCAGTCCAAGGCTAGCCCATAAAGGATCCTCGAGTTTGCTGAACAGACATCTCCAAAATTTTATTTTAGCATTTGACATGCTCTTTTTTCTACACTTAATTAAATGCCCAGACGACAAATATTTAACAAAACAAAGTGCGTACTTTTTAGGCTCCATACACTTCTTTTTTTGAAGTTAAAATCCTCTAAGCTGGCCACCAGGTTATCATTAAAAATAAAAATGTGATAGAAGGCTTGAGCACAAATCCACTAAACCTAAACGGCTGCAGAAAGACAGGCTTCTACAGCTGAGTCACTCCTTGGTTAATGGCCACTATAAAGTTTAGCATTCATTTTAAGTGCTCTCTCTTACCTGTTAAGAGTGCAAGGCAATAACAAGAAACAAAAATTCGGAGGCAAGCAAGCTCAAGATAGGAGAAAAGAATACCACTATTTAATTTGTAAGTTTGAATCTGCAAAGGGTATGAAGATGATGGAATTTTTAATCAAATTAATAAAGCAGTACAACAAGAAACACATATAGCTATCTCCTGCACTGTATTTTAATTTCCAGCACTTTACTTTTTATACTGACACTCCTTTTGAAAGGCAACGTTAACTGTATTACCCAAAATTAGCCAGTGGGAATGGGGTCATAATGAACTCTGGGACGGATGCAGAAACTAGTCACTTGAGAAGTTTAGCAGGGAAAGGGCCAAGAAAATAATCGACTGGGGGAATGGGTAAGTCCTGCCTCATACTTACTGCTTAGAATCCTCATCCCCTATGACCTTTGCCCCAACGGCACTTTCTTTAAAATGTCCCTTTCCGGAGTTAAAATACAAGTAATATTTCTTTGAAATTCAAGACAAGTTTATTAAATAGCAATGAGGGAAATAGAGAAATGAGATAGCATCTGTGTGATGGCTTTAACCCATACTTAAACTGCAAATCTTTTCAAACCCAAGCTGATTCTACAATTCCCACAGAAGGCTTCAGAAACGGTTGTCATCCTATGAGTTTCCACCTGGAGCTAACAGGCCACTGGGAGGACAAGGCGACCCCAGGCTGACGCAGGGCCCGAAGCCGCGAGAGGACAGTCCCGTGTGCCAGAGCGAGACTCCTCCCGTAGACACCGACCCTGAAGCGGACCCGACCGCACAGCGGGTCTCCACGCACCGGAACAGCGTCTATAGTGCTCCCCGAGTGCACCCAGCAGATTCGGCCCCAGAAGCACACGGGGTCGGGAAAATGGCCACCTCTATTACCTGAGGGTCATAGAGCACCACGGAACAGGACGTGCCGAAGGCCAGAAGTCCTCCGGGCCCGGAGCTCCAGCTCAGGGCTCCCCGCACCCGGTTCGGGCAGCAAAACACGTGAGAGGTCTCCAGTACGGGAGCCACCATGTTGCTGGCTGGTCAGCGGCCGAAACCCGGGCGCGCACTTCCGCCCTCGGAGCGGAACTGCTCTCCGGCCGCCTCTCCCGCTGGCGTATCCGCACCGCGTTTCCGAGGCGACCGGGGGCGGGACTGCCTCTGCCCCGCCCCGCCGGCCCCGCCCTGCTCCGCGGCCCGAATGGTCCCGAGTTCCCGGCTGCGTCTACCGGCGTTCGTCTCTTGTCTCGTGACCCAGGGCACAAGCACGTCCCGTCCCAGGCTCGAAGACCCGACCGGAACAGCTCAACAACCTCCACAAAAACCCGGGGCTCGTATGCCGGGGCAGCGGCAGGAACGTCTCGCTGCCCCTCACGGCCGGCTCCCAGCAGGGAACAGGGCCGGCCCGACGGAGAGCCTTGTATAGCGAGCCTTGGGCCTCACAGAGGCAGGGCCGTGGAAGGGCTCGAGGAGAGGGCACCCAATTAGTCTCGGCGCTTACAGCCCGCCGGGACCGCGTCTCCGCCCCGCCCCTGCCAGCCCCGCGGCGCCGACGAACAGGCGGACGCGCGGATCCGCCTATCCAGGACGGGATCGCGCCGCACTGCGCATGCCCCGCAGTCATGGCCGGCGGAGGCGGTGGTTCCCGGCGGCGCGCTGAGCGCGGCGGTAATTAGTAATTGTCCTCCTGCTGCCGGGAGGCAAGGGCGCGTGAGGCGCGGCTTCCCGGTGGCTGCGCGGCGGTACCCCGACCGAGGGGCAGGCGAGCAGATGAGACCGCCGCTTTCCGTGCCCTGTAGAGGTTTCTAGGGAGAGAAGCACTGGCCGGTTCTGAGCCCTTCGGATCGCCGGCGGGAACTGAACCGGCGCGTGGGACCGGGCCGAGGCCGCAGAGAGGTGAGTCCCGCGGGTCCGGGAGTGGCGGGCGGAGAGGGGAGTCCCGCGGCCCGTGGAGGCCAGACTTCCCAGTTTGGGGTGCACAGATGGGCTTCGGGGTCCAACGGCGGACTTTCTAAGGAAACGGTTTGTCCTGTTCATCTCATTTTCGAAGAAGGTAGTCATGTTTAAAAATAAGAAGCCCTTAGAAGCAGTTTTGTGTCCTCTTCCCGTTTTATTCACTCTCCCCTTTCTCCAGGCTCTTTCGGCTTTCTTTTCTCCAACACACGCGGTCTCGCAGGGAAGGAGATCCGCTGGAAGGTCCGGGACCGCCTTAAGCATCCTTCCTGGAGAAAGGCACGAAGCTTCCCCCGAGCCTTTCGTCTGTGGTTGTCCCCACATACCCTGCTCCTTGTCCCTCTTCGGCGAATGATTTCTAAATGGTTCTCTAATGCCTATTAAAACTTCCGACCACGAGGATTGTTCTTTTAGGAGTCTAGCCCTGTGGTAGTAATATGTACTTCCATTTTCCACAGTATGATCAGCAGTTGTGCAACATTGCTGATAGCGTGTGGAGCACTTCCACATACATCCGTTCATGTGGTTTTCCTAATACCCTATAAAATAGATTTTACCAGCTTTGCCTAATCCAAGGAAGAACAGAAGAAAGTGGTGGAGCTAGGTTGCCCCTCGCCCTTGTCTCACTCCAGAGCCTGACCTCTGCCCCTTTCACTGGAGGCAGGGGAGTTTGGTCACGGTCACCACCCACCATTGGTTCTGGACATCTATCTGCTGGCCGGGTCCTGAGATATTGGGCTATCTGCTCAACTGGACTATACTTTCCTCTGCTTAACTGAATTCTGCTTTTCAAGGCTCAGCTGGATTCTTAACTCCTCTTCAGAGCATAGGACTTTGGTTCCAAACACTTATTTGAATGTGTGATAGACTATGATAAAAACTTCGTAAGTCTATAGCAACATAAGAGCCATACGGTAAAAAATTTTAACTTTAAGAACTGTTACTGTGCGGTCGTTCAAAAGAATGAGTTCGCTTTATATGTACTGACATGGAAAGATGTCTTGTTGAGTGGGGGAAAAAAGATCCCTTTTGTGTGGTTGATGTGTGCATCAACCTGAGTATGTACCAGGGATGCATAAGAAACTGACAAAATTGGGTACCTTTGAGGATTGAAATTGGGAGAAAGAAGCCTTAAATTGATTTATATATAGTTTAAGAAAAAAATTTTGTTACGACTTATTCTGAGATTGCTTGTTTCTACTTTTTTTTTGACGTTTAAAGGTTGTTCTGTGAAATGATGGTGGTGGTGGAGGTAGTTAGGTTTTGTTTCAAATTGTTCTAAACACTAAGAAGTTGCCAGTATGGCTGTGACCACATGGATCCCTCCAGCCCCGGAATTACTGTTGCTTTTACAGTGCTAATCACAGAGTCCTAGCGCTCAACTGCTCTCCAGTAGTTTCACATGTTTTAACAATGCAGGAATAGAGCCTAGGTCTCCAGTTCTCTGTATTTTCACAGTACCTAGCACTATACTGGTCACATTGGATGATGCTCTGTAAAACTTGATCATTTGATTAGACATCAGTTTTTGGCATGAGATTTCGAATTCAAATTGTTTTGTAAGTGAAGACAAGGATTTTTTTTTTTGTCTTCTTTAGGAAAGTACAATGGCGAGGAATTTATCTGTAATCTTGATCCTGACCGTCACCCTGTCAGTCACACATCCCCTTCATGAAGTAGGACCAGCCACTGCTTTCCCTCAGACCACTGAGAAAATTATTCCGAATTGGGAATCTGGCATTAATGTTGACTTGGCTGTTACCACGCAACAACATCATCTACAGCAGCTTTTCCATCGCTATGGAGAAAACAATTCCTTGTCAGTTGAAGGGTTCAGAAAATTGCTTCAGAATATAGGCATAGATAAGATTAAAAGAATCCATATTCACCATGACCACGAGCATCACTCTGACCATGAGCACCACTCTCACCATAACCATGCTGCTTCCAGTAAAAATAATCGGAAAACTCTTTGCCCCGACCATGACTCTGATAGTTCAAGTAAAGATCCTAAAAACAGCCAGGGAAAAGGATCTCACCGATCAGAACATACCAATAGTAGAAGGAATATTTTAATCAAGGATGGTGTTGGTGCTAGTGAAGTGACCTCAACGGTATATAATGCTGTCTCTGAAGGAACTCACTTTCTAGAGACGGTAGAAACTCCAAAACATGGAAAACTTCTCCCCAAAGATGTGAACAGTTCCACTCCACCCAGTATCACAGAAAAGAGCCGGGTGAGCTGGCTGCCTAGTAGGAAAACAAATGAATCTGTGAGTGAGCCCAGGAAAGGCTTTATGTATTCCAGAAGCACAAACGAAAATACTCAGGAGGTAAGATGAGTATTTTATTTTAATCAATATGCCTGCTTGTCTGTGCTGTCTTTGCCATTCTATCTCAGTTCTAAGGAGTTTAAAATGAAAATAAAGTGGTGACTTCATTGAGAAGGAAATTTCTTTCTCAGCAAGGCACTTACCTCAGAGTGTCCATACGGTGTTGTAAACATTCCTGATATAAAACTTGGGGGTGGTTCTTTGATAAGAATAGTGCCACCTGCTAAAACTGTTTTTCTAATATAGAATTCAAAATAAGTATAGAAAGCAGATATCAAAGTTATTTTTGTAGAAAATCTTTAAAGATGAATACTACTAATAAAAAACAGAAAGTCAAACAAGCAGGAGTTAGAATTCATGGTTTGGGGAAAGGTGTGGCTGAAAGGGCTGAAGAATGCAAGAAAAGCAGCTTTACCTCCTTCGCAGAGAGATCGCTGTGGTTTGTGGGGTGATTGAAATTGGAGCTGCTACCAAGAGTGATGTGCTAGACAAGTAAAAAAAAATCTGGGCAGTGAGGCTCTGAGTTCATGTGGTTTTTTTCTAGAATTAGACTTCCAGATTGTACACGGTTTGCCTTGTCTGAGAGATACCAAGAACAAGGAAGTCGTTGGTTTATGTTAATAGGCAGAACTTAAGTACTTCATTCAAACCATCACATGACCATAGTAAATCTGGGATAATCCTACTCATGGTCATTCCCATAGCGACACTAGTGATAGAGTTTGTTCTGAGCAGTACTGGCCAGGAAGTGTGGGAGTTTAACTTTACATAAGATAAGAAATAGGTGCTACCCAATTTTTTGGCGAGAAGAGGAGCTTAGATTACCCGGAGGAGAGTCTCTTCAAACTAAGCCTGTCATCTCATTAGACTGTTAAAACAGCTGCCTGCCAGTACAGGTTTGTTTTATTAACCAGCCTTGCCCTCCACAGGAGTAATCTACATAACTTAATGTTCTCTTGTAGAGCATTATTTTGCTAGGTCTGTAGACAGAACTGAGCTAAGTTTTTGCAAGTACAGTCATTGCTGGCAGAGTGACGTGTCTTGGGCTTGTCTAGGCCAGGTAGGGTAGCGTTAGTACTAAAACAGCGTATTTCTCAATCTCTAATTAACCCCATCTCAAAATTAAAGCTCATTTCCTTAAAAGATTTACACAGTGAGTTAACAGGCTTGTGAAAGGCCGTTCACCCTCCAGCCTTTTCCACATGAGGCTTTCTCCCGAGGTGACTAGTGATGGGACTGCTTCTCCCAAGAATAGGCAGAAGCGACGGGATGCCACTCGTGTGACATCGAATCTCCAGGTAGCTTGAGGCAAGCTCCAGAGTACTCAAAACAAAAGTTGGTTTTGATTCACCTTAACTTAAAAAAATAAAGAAGTAGCTTCAGTAAGGAAAGGGTGTTGCATCATCAAAAAACTGTTTTGGATTCTCTAATGGGAATGCCTTTGAGTGACTTCACTGCTTCATTTTCCTCAGTGTTTTAACGCGTCAAAGCTGCTTACCTCTCATGGCATGGGCATCCAGGTTCCACTGAATGCAACCGAGTTCAACTATCTCTGCCCAGCCATCATCAATCAGATTGATGCTAGATCATGTCTGATTCATACGACGAGTGAAAAGAAAGCCGAGATCCCTCCAAAGAGCAATTCTTTACAAATAGGTAAAATTGCCTTTTTTACATAAAAATTGTTTCCAAGAGATACGTTTATATTGTACATTTCCTTACATTCACATCAACCTATTCATTTTTCAGCATAATTCCAAATATGTCATTTTGATTGTTCTTTGCCTTCAATGTGAAGAAAGCAAGTATGTTAGCCTTACCCTTAAAAAAACAAAAACAAAAACAAAAACCAGAAAATGAAACTTAGATTGTAAATTATGAGAGGTCCTCCCAC